ACATCCTGCTACTGATCAACAAGTTGTAATGTATATTATAGTGGTCATGAGAATTATTTATGAATTACTTGATTTTAAATGTTTTCACAATGTGGTATTGAATAATGCTATATTTTCAGGTTTGTCGTCAGTGGGCACGTCCAAATGGTAGAGTACCATCAAATCAGCGAAACATCCCCATACTGCGCGTTAAGAGCCAAGGTTACTCCATCCCAGCGTGTGACAGAGAAACCGCATCAGCCATGGGTGTACCTCAACAAAAATACTGCTGCTGTGTTCTGTGCCCATTGTACTTGCATGGCTGGGTAAGTCAATATTAGTAACGTTTCTCCAATTTTGACATGCATTTAAATAAAAAATAACATTAGTAGAATTTCTATAATCTTCTGTTTTTATTACTGTGTTGCTTTTCTGGTAGACATACTATTTAAACACTTATGCATTATGTTTATTTATTTATTTTAGCCTGGGAGAGGTCTGTAGTCTTGTGGCAGCCTTGTTGTTCAAGATGGAAATAGCAGTCCGCCTTGGTTTGACATCACGATCCGTTACAGACGAGAGCTGCAAGTGGAACAACACTTTTCGAAAAGAGGTAATAATTCATTATAAAAATAAATAGTTGATTCTTTGTGAATATGGTAGCCATTGAGATTAGAGTGCGCATGCGCTGAGCAAGCAGCAAGTCGAGAAGTAGCTCCGGATATCTTTGTCGTGGTTGTCGTTGTTTTTCACTGTTTTTTAGAGCCTGTCATGTGTAAACTCGTCTACAGCAGGGATGATTCCTTGTGCTTGTGCTACGAAAGTCTGGACACGGATTGAAACACCCTATTCCTCGGGAGATAAAAAAACCTTTCCGAGGCAACCGTGCGGGTGCCAGGCTAAAGGCGAAGAAGCGGAGATTCAAGCCGGCGGTGCCGTCGATGATGATGGGTAACGTCAACTCCTATCAGAACAAATGTGATGAGCTCGCGGCGCTTGTCAACTATCAGCGAGAGTTCCGTGAGAGCAGTCTTCTCTGTCTAACGGAGACTTGGCTCACGGATGTAATACCGGACATTGCTGTGGAGATTGCCCAAAAGGCGGGGGTCTTGCCTTTTTGTGAACAATAGATGGTGTCCCATTTGACTGGATTCACACAATATGTGGACTGTCCCACAAGGGAGCAGAAAAACTTTGGACTTGTGCTTTGTTAATGTCAAAGAGGCCTACACTGTTTCTGCACTTCCACCTCTTGGTAAATCTGACCACAACATGGTTTACCTGAGACCTGTATACAAGCCTTGTGTAATGACTCAGCCTGTAACAACTCGGACATTCAGGAAGTGGACGTCAGAGGCCAGTGAATCCCTGAGAGCCTGTTTTGAATGCACCGACTGGAGTGTTATCCAGGATCTACAGGACAACAATGGAAGGACAACCACTGACTTTGACATTGACAGAATAGTGGGATGCACAACAGACTATATAAACTTTTGCACAGATATTGCCCTGCCCCTAATCACTGTCAGGTGCTTTCCTAACAACAAACCTTGGATCACGGCAGACGTGAAGCATCTTCTAAATGAAAAGAAGAGGGTGTTTGGTGACAAGGGAAAGCGAAGGGAGATACAGCGGGAGGTGAAAAGGAGTTTAAGAAAGTCCAAGCTGAACTACAAACGGAAGCTGGAGAGAAGGTTAAAGGCTAATAACATCAAAGAAGTGTGGAGAGGAATGCAAAAGATCACGGGAATGAAAGGAAGACAGAGCTTACCAGCTGGTGACAGGGATCGTGCAAATGAGTTCAATCGGTTTTATAACAGACACAATGTAACATCCTCATCCTCCCTCACCCCTGCCCCTTTCCTATCCCCCCCTCCACCCTCTCCCGACCATTCCTTCCTCCAGGCTCCCTCTGTTTCCTCACCGCTCCCATCTGTGACTGCTGATGAGGTGAAAAAACAACTGCAGAAGCTACACCCCTGCAAAGGTCCTGGACCAGACGGTGTGAGTCCGCGTTTATTGAAGGACTGTGCGGAGCAGCTTGCGGCGCCGCTCCAGACACTCTACAACTTCAGTCTTCAGTCTGGCAGAGTCCCTGATCTGTGGAAGACATCCTGTCTCGTCCCTGTGCCAAAAGAAGCGCGGGCTACAGAGTTAAAGAACTTCAGACCAGTGGCTTTGACCTCCCACATTATGAAGACACTGGAGCGGCTCGTCCTGCACCTTCTCAGGCCTCAGGTACATCACGCACAAGACTCACTCCAGTTTGCCTATCAGGAGGCTATCGGAGTGGATGATGCCATCCTGTATTTGCTGCACCGGACCTACTCCCTCCTGGATCAATCTGGTGGATATGTGAGGATAATGTTCTTTGATTTTTCTAGTGCATTCGACACAATTCAACCAGACATCCTCAAACAAAAGCTGGAGAGGTTAGGGGTTGACCGGATCTTCATCACGTGGATCCATAACTATCTGACGGGCCGGCCTCAGTGCGTGAGGCTTGGCCACACCACTTCGGATTATGTCGTGAGTAATGTTGGGGCTCCACAAGGAACGGTTCTTGCTCCTTTTCTCTTTACCATCTATACATCTGACTTCAAGTACCACTCTGACACTTGTCATGTTCAGAAGTACTCGGATGACACAGCCATTGTGGCCTATGTCAGAAATAACCAGGAAGAGGAGTACAGGAACTTGATCACTGCATTCTGTGATTGGAGCACCAAGAACTCACTCACTCTGAACACTAACAAGACCAAAGAAATGACTATCTACTTTGGCAAGAAAAAGAACACTTTACAGCCAATAAATATTCATGGACAGGACATCGAACGCGTGCACACATACAAATATCTAGGTGTTCACCTGGATGATAAATTGGACTGGAACATCAACACAGAGGCGCTCTACAAAAGGGGTCAGACCAGGCTCTTTTTTCTGAGGAGGCTAAAGTCCTTTGATGTGTGTAATCAAATGTTGTCTATGTTTTACCATTCTGTTGTGGCGGCTGTTCTCTTTTATGCTGTCATTAGTTGGGGCAACAATATATCGGTCAAAAACCGTAACAGGCTGGACAAACTGGTTAAGAGGGCGGGGTCAGTGGTTGGGGGGTCACTGGACTCTGTTGAGGCAGTGGTTGAGAGGTGCATGGGGAGAAAGGTCCAGGCCATCCTTAGTAACTCCAGGCACCCTCTGTATGGGTCTCTGTCTGCTCAGAAGAGCAATCGATCGGATCGTTTCCTCTCCGTATACAGCAGTACTGAGCGCTTCCGGAGATCCTTCATCCCTGCTGCAATTCGATTTTACAACGGTCATCGCTGATGTAAATGTGTGGGGGTTTTAATTTTTTTTTTTTTTTTTTTTTTTTTTTTATTATATTTATATGTATTGTCTTTTTTATCCGCTGTTTTGCTACTAAGGACAACTGAATTTCCCCTCGCTGGGATGAATAAAGTATTTATCTATCTATCTATCTATCTATCTATCTATCCATATAATTTTGCTCGACTAATTCGCAAACCTTGTTTTAAGGCAGTCCGAATACGCTAAAGTGAAAATACATATAGCCAATTTTTGTTGCCATTTTTGACTTTCACCACTTGTTTGCAGTGTAGTGGCATTGAGACATCCTGGAGCAGCCTATCCAACATATCCTGAACTTTTCCACATTATAAACTGCTCCAGGCCTAGATTAACTCCAGTCCATACATAATTAATTCCCCATCTAAGCCTTTTGTAATTAGTGTGTTGAATGTTTGGTCATGTGTTGATGAATTAATCCGCCCTCACCCCCCACCACCTCCAACCTCTGCACCTACGCCGCATATATGGAGCGTATCTCTGCCTCTACACGGCATTAAACAAGCGCTATCGGCCCGCTACATGAAGTTGTTTCCCTGTGATTTACGGCTCGGCTCGACTCGGCACGATCTGACGGACTCCTTCACTCACGCAACAGGCCCCATCTCCGCGTCCACCTCGGGCAATACTGTACGTCCATTTCAATTTAATGCAAGCTGACTTTCTAATTACGCTAATGGCTGGGGCCGGAGTCATGAGAAATGTACAACTGGAGCTAAATGTATTTTTCAGCTTTGCTCCAAAAAAGTGACGGATTATTTCGGGTGGATGGCTCGTGGCGTTGTGTCTGTGTTGATTTTAGGCAACATGGGTCAGCTGGTGTGTGTGATGCAATGTGACAGAGAGGTTTGGAAACGCGTCACATGCGATTTGAGTTTGTGTATTTGTCAGTGAGGGTATAGTGCTGATCATGGGTGGTAGATGTCAGGGTAAGTGTTGTCCCCCTCTGGTCAGGCCTCAGTGTATGTCACTGTAGTGCAGCGATGTCAGCAAGAATTTAAATGACGTTCACATTTAAATTGTGCATTACATTACATTGCAATTCAATTTCAAATCAAGCTGTATTTTTAATGCCCTATCACAGCAGCCCTAGCCCGGCCATAGCCATCCGTACAATCAGCGTGCGCGGAAGGAGAATGTTGTAGTTACTGTAGTTGTGGGTGACGTCAAGAGTTTGCGTCACACGGGAAGGTCGTAGTTTGGCAATGGCGAAAAATGCTATAGTAAAGTAATCCGGTCTGGTTCTGTCAAGAAATAGAAGCCGGAGCAATGGGAATGTTTAGCAAATGTAATCGCTTGAAAAAATTGTGGCGCTACTCCCCACGGGCTCCGTTAGCGGCAAAGTAGATGGCTAGGCTAAATGCTAAATGCTAACGACTCACTCGGGCGCATTACAAAC